ATAATCGCATGCCAATGTGCATTGGCTCGTTTAGTTTACACTCGAAGTGGATTGGTCTCTCTAAGTGAGATCCCAATTTGTCGGTCACCGACGTGACGTCTCCGTTCCCTCCTTCAGGGAAGGAGAGTTACATAAGTAACAGAGATGTTCACCTCTCATTCTCTTCTTGGGTTCCTTCACTTAGATCCTGGTGAGTTTTAATGAATTAATGAAAATGAATTAATTTCTATAAGCAAACTTCATTCAAATTCTCTCAACAAAAAATAGTTAATATCTCAATTTTTGAGTGAAATAACATTAATAACAGCATTTATTGTGAGCGAATGGCGTCCTCTACTGGAGACTTTTTCATCTATAAATGCAATGCAAGTTGTTATTTTTAAATGTTTCTCTAAGAAATAAACGTAGGTAAGTTATTGTTGTTGTTTTTTAGCTTCAAACAAAGCAAAACAGTTTAGACTGAAAATGTAAAGGAAGAGCAGCAATCTGTCATTTGCCGCTTAGAAATTTTTTATCAAGAAGTCTAATTTGGTCTACTTCTGTGAATAAATACAAACACTGATATTAATATTCATGTCAGGAAATTACCCGCATTTACTTTTTTTGTCTTTGAGATGTTAAAAACCTTTTACGCGGTGGTGGAGCCAGAGGTGTGTCCACAGTGGCAGAGTTTTATAGATGGGGTGGCCAGGGGGTGGCCAAGGCTAATTCAGGGGGTCCATAGACCATGACAGAAAATCTGTGTATTACCCCAACCTGGCATAAAAAAGCATTAATAAATCCTACGATTGCTGATTAATTCACATTACCCCACATTAGTTAAACATACCGTAACTTCAACTGTTAGGCTGATGATACATGGGGCAACTTTTTTTGAGCAATGTTGCTTGGGCACTTTCCCATTGAGAATAGGTAACAAATTTCTATCTGCATAACTTAGATCGGTCGTGGGCCGTGTGTTTCACCTGGTTGCCCACTGAACACCGAAAAAAATGATTCATTGCATTTACTACATTATTTAAGGTAAGTGGTTGCAATCAATTTATTTTAGCTACATTTAAATAAACTAATTTAGTTGACTAACTTTCAACTTATTTTTTTTATTAAATGTAGCTAAAATAAATTGTTTGCAACCACTTACCATGAAAAAAATGTAGTATAATTTTTTTCAGTGAAGGCAACATTGCTCAAAAAGTTGCTCCGTGTATCATCAGTCTTAACTTATTTATCTTATTTACTGTAACCAGTGGTTAGAGCAAAATATCTAACGTTACCTTGTACGCTACAGTGAATTTTGTAAATGTTGTTCAGGAAACCTTCAAGCTGCCAAGTGTTGGCCCAGATCCGGCCCACATCAGGCCTGCGTGAAATCCATGTGGGCCAGATGTGGGCCGGATCTGGGCCGACACTGGTTGCTGTCTGGGGACTGACTAACATCTGTATGTTATGCAGAATTTGTCCTGGAAACTCTTAACAAATTATGCCAGTCTTTTGTAAGTCTGCTGATATCTCTTCTTCGGGGGCTGATAGAAACATCAGTCCCAATACAAACATACACACATGAACCCAACTCACCAAATACAGGGACAAATTCAAATATGTACATACAGTCATGGCCAAAAATATCGGCACCCTTGGTAAATATGATCAAAGAAGGCTGTGAAAATTAATCTGCGTTGTTAATCCTTTTGATCTTTTATTTAAAAAAAAATCACAAAAATCTAACCTTTCATTGGATAATAAGAATTTAAAATGGGGGGAAATATCATTATGAAATAAATGTTTTTCTCTAATCCACATTGGCCACAATTAACGGCACCCTTTTATTCAATACTTTTTGAAACCTCCATTTGGCAGTTTAACAGCTCTAAATTTTCTCCTATAATGCCTGATGAGGTTAGAGAACACCTGAAAAGAGATCAGAGACCATTCCTTCATCCAGAATCACTCCAGACCCTTTAGATTCCAGCTCCATGACGGTGCTTCTCCTCTTCAGCTCACCACACTCATTTTCTATAGCGTTCAGGTCAGAGGACTGGAATGGCCATAGCAGAAGCTTGGTTTTGTGCTCAGTGACCCATTTTTGTGTTGTTTTTGAGGTTTGTGTTTGGATTATCTCTAATACACATTGGCCACAATTAACGGCACCCTTTTATTCAATACTTTTTGAAACCTCCATTTGCCAGTTTAACAGCTCTAAATTTTCTCCTATAATGCCTGATGAGGTTAGAGAACACCTGAAAAGAGATCAGAGACCATTCCTTCATCCAGAATCACTCCAGACCCTTTAGATTCCAGCTCCATGACGGTGCTTCTCCTCTTCAGCTCACCACACTCATTTTCTATAGCGTTCAGGTCAGAGGACTGGAATGGCCATAGCAGAAGAAATATAGGCCCACAACATTAAAAATACAGCCGTATATTTCATTGTACACATGGGGTACTTTTTATCCCTGTGTTCACCAAACCCATCTTGAGTGTTTGCTGCTAAAAGGCTCATTTTTTTAGTTTCATCTGACCATAGAAGCCAGTCCCATTTGAATTTCCAGTCGTGTCGGATAACTGAATATGCTGGAGTTTGTTTTTGAATGAGCTTGGAGAATTTTTCTTGAAACCCTCCCAAACAACATGTGGTGATGTAGGTGCTGTTTGACAATTGTTTAAAAGGTTTTCTGACCCCGAGACTCAACTATTTTCTGCGATTCTCCAGCTGTGGTACTTGGAGAGTCTTTAGCCACTCAAACTCTCCTCCTCACCGTGCAGGCTGGATAATTTCATGTTCATAATCACCCTGGAGTGCTCAAAATTGTGATGGGAATTGGGAATATACTTCAGAGATATTTTACTCATAAGAATTTCTAGGGGTGCCAATAATTGTGTGTATTTGAGAAAAACATTTATTACATAATGATATTTGCCCCCATTTTAAATTCTTATCATCCAATGAAAGGTTAGATTTTTGTGATTAACAATGCAGATTAATTTTCACAGCCTTCTTTGATCATATTTACCAAGGGTGCCGATATTTTTGGCCATGACTGTATACAGGAGGAGCTCTGACATCACTGTAGCTCAGTGAGAGATACAGACAAAGTGAAACTCACTTAATCTGCAACAATATGGACGCGTGAATCGATATAATTAACCTCCTTAAACAAAAGAATATTTATTGAGCCGTTCAGAGACCCTTGTGGACACATCTGATACTCACAGGTAAGTGATAGAAATAATAAGAGAGATGAACAGGTTTCTAATATAAATGGAACTGAAATACGTTGAACAGAACCAGGGGCTGTTTGCATAAACTGATAAAACTAGTCTTACAAGTTTGTATGTTTTAGTTTTCTTTAAGACCGCTCATAACTTTATTTTTTTTCATGTCAGTTACACAAAAACATACATTGGTCTAATATGATACCGAAAAGTAAGATCGATTACCTGACTAATTGCTAGTTGGTCATATAAGTTCTTAAGACACTCTTAACATGGGTTTATGCAATATGCCCCAGGGTTTAATCATGTCAAATAGTCAACTACTTTAGTTGTTTACTGCACTGAAATGGTATAATATTAGACGTAAGTCATTTGGTTGGTTGTACAACAAAGTTTGGTGTTTCTGTCATTTTGTCACATGACTTAAAACATAAGAAACATAACTTCACAAAAACTATAAACTGGTTCTTCAAGTCTGATCGGTTAATCACAGTGTTGTTCCAGGGTCAACAAAGATGTTGATCCAGGAACATGTCGCACTTGGTAAAATCAGGTTTTGCGAAGTAGGACTGTCTAAATGCAGACATGCTTAACAAGATTAAATAGAACTTGACCTTGCATCAGTTTATTTTGTGGGAAGGCATTTTGTCAGAAAATATTTCAAAAAGATTTGTTTATGTTTATTGTTTGCATTTAATATAAATAGTTTGGTTTGGAAAGGAATGTTTCTCCTACAAAATAAAATGTTTACTACAGTGAAATACAATTAAAACCATTTCATTTGAAATACACTGCAGCTAAAAATAAAAAAATAAAAATATTTAAACAAAATGAAATATCCATTTGCTCATTCAACATATTTGTTCATTTTGAGGGAAAAGAGTAATCAGTACTTTTCCTTTAATGTAAACAGCAGTTATTAGTTACAAATTCTGTTTGTTTGTTTGTTAGCTGATTATTTATTTATTAATTAATTTAATTTAATTTAATTATTTTTCCCCTTGCAAAGGCACAAGGCATAAGTAAAGAACAATGGCAGAATCTTCCCCAATACCACCATATAGACGAGAAAGGAGAGGGAGTATGGATAATCATCCATGTAAGTCAATAACCTTCTTAATTCTTATACTTTATCTTCTTGAAATCAACCACTCTACATTCAAGCTCTACACATGTTGACTTTACACTAGTGCAGGTTATTATTGTCATAATTTCTCTATCCAGCATTCTCAAATCAGCCTGAAGTTCTGTGACATCTGTGAGGAAAGAAAGCTGAAAGCTCTGAAGTCGTGTCTGGTGTGTCAGAGCTCTTACTGTGAAACTCACCTGGAGCCTCATTTGAGAGTGGCAGGTTTAAAGAAACACAAACTGATGGATCCTGTGAGTAATCTGGAGGACTATATATGTCAGAAACACAAGAAACCTCTGGAGCAGTTCTGTAGAGATGATCAGACGAGTGTGTGTATGGAGTGTGCTGTGAAAGGCCACATGTACCACGACACTGTTTCTATAGAAGAAGAGAGTAAAAAGAAAAAGGTAGACGTTAAAATCATTTTTAAAGGCCTTATATCATTTGCAATCACTTTTTTTATTTTGTGAAATAAACAAATCAATTATCATTGTGTGTTGTTCTTTGTCTAGACTCAACTGATGAAGACACAGGAAAATGCCAAACAGCTGATCCAGAACAGCATCAAGAAGATTCAAGACATCAAAAACTCAGCAGAAGTCAGAAAAGTGAGTTAATTCAATACAAACTTAAATATTTATTATAGATCATTTAGTTCTGGTCCTCCAGGACTCCTGATATACAGTCAGCACTGGGTTTTTCACTGTTTTGTATCACTTCGCTTGTCTGTGTTTGTTCAGTCAGACTACCAGCCTGTGTATAGGTCTTTGTCAGATGACATCAAACTACTGATAACCAAACTGCATTGTGGATAGCAGCCTTTTTTGTGGTGTTCTATGGTTGTGGTGTTTCAGTGGCGTCCTTTTATCTGTAAAATGGTATGCTCGTGTTATGTAAAAAGCTGCAATAATAAGTCCCACGATGGGAAAGGCTGACAACCTGACCACAAAGCAAGATTTTTCAGGCTTCCCAGCTGTAAACCCCCGCCCAGTGGACTATCGGTACACTCTAAAAAATGCTGGGTTAAATATAACCCAGCATTTTTTAGAGTGTATGCAATCAACAAAAAGGTGTTGAAATGCCTGGGTTTTAAACACAATTATAAAACGGATAGCCCCGGTCCTTGATTCTGATTGGTTGAGCCGCGTTCGAAGCTGTTGTAAATTACACTTCAGATATACACTTTTGTTTACTTCTGTGTGTTGCTCGACAACCACTTTGTTGGAACCACAACTGTTTCTGAGGAACTGCATTGTTTGGTGGAAGAATACTGTTTTTATTTATGTCATTACACTTTATTTGCTCTGTTTTATTCTGTGAAACAGAATAGTCTATATACTACGTATATAGTAAGCAAGGCCTCTTCACGTATATATACGTTTTTGTACATCATTTTTATTTCATATACTTGTGAATAACAGTAAGTGGGAGCAGTTAAGAAAAAACACACTGCAGCCAGCTGAGATGATGGGGACCTGGCTGGAGAAAGTGGTCAGATTCACACTAAGGAAGGGACATAGGAGGCTAGAGGAAGGGGTCAGGGACACACTGAAGACATACTTTTTGTGGTTGAAGCAAATACAGACAAGGCCACTGAAAAACACAGACACAAAAAGTCTAAAATGCAAGTTAGTTTATAGTAACTTCACAATAGGAGCCCTGCTGTTGGTCTGAATGTCGACACGGCTGTGATTAACTGCTCACTAAAGAAATAGCACATCTGTTTTCACCAAGACACATGATTTGAGGAATCATTGAGTGTAAACACTGCAGGACCAAGTTTAATTAAGTTTGGTTGAGGGATTTTGAAAACCCTCTAAATAAACTTAGGTATGGGCAATAATAACACTGATTCTTGCCTTAGCAAACACAGCTAATAATTTGTTGCTTGACCTGGTTGAGCAGAGAAACACAGAGAAGGAGAAAGCAGCTCGTGTTCAGCTCTTCACTGATCTCATCCGCTCCATTGAGAGATGTCAGACTGAAGTGCTGGAGATGATGGAGGAGCAGCAGAAAGCAGCAGAGAAACAGGATAAAGAGCTCATTGAAGATCTGGAGCAGAAGATCACCGAGATAGAGACCAGAAACACTGAGCTGGAGCAGCTCTCACACACTGAAGATCACCTCCACCTCCTACAGGTCAGTGAACATCTCTCTGATCAATGATAATGCAGTATATGACAACATAACACTCCCCATGCTGAAGGATTTCTCCTCTCTCCTGCTGTAGATTTCCTCATCCCTGTGCAGCCCAACAAAAACTAGGAGTAACAGGAACTTGCCAGAGATCAGAATGAAGGCACAAGAGAGTCTGGCTGTGTACAGCAGAGCTCTGACTCAACTGCAGAACACTCTAGATGAGAAACTCTCGCAAACTGGTGCGTCCATACATGATAAGATAAATACACAATGTTGTACACAATTATTTAAATATAACCTTAAATGGGTCGTGACACAAGAAATCAATTTTTAATTGAGAGAGCAGTTAAGTCAAGTGCAGCGAGGTTGTCAGATTAAGTCAGACATTTCAGTAGCACTTCTAAACTATAGGGGTTGGACAATGAAACTGAAGGACTGGCCTATTATAGTGTGGGAGGTTTCATGCCGTTATATGCACAGCCTGGTGGCCAATCTTCACTCATTTGACATCATCAGTAAGAGCAGAGTGTGAAGGTTGAATTAGCAGAGCAGTAACACAACTGTACATACAATTTTGAAATCCATTCAACATAAAGTGAGACCAGTGCTGGACTGGTAATCTGGCATACCGGGCATTTTCCTGGTGGGCCGACGCACTTTTGGGCCGGTACAATTTGTACAGCGGCCCATCACAAAGCATTATATAGATGGAGTGATAAGGGATCTTGCTCCGCGTATGTAAATATCGCTTCACCTCTCTTCCACCTTCCTCTCAGTCTCTCAAAATGGACAAACCAAAGCGAAACAGTGGTACTGAAAAGCTCAGGGAAAAGTAGATAAAAAATTTGGAGGCGGATGTCGCAAAATGTGCCTCGTCATAGGCAGTTCCAAAATGTACACAGCAGCGTTATCAAAAACAGGCTTGCTCTGCTGTGAGTGATGAGGGCCAAAGCGACATGCAGCAGGAGGAGAGGAGTTTAATCGGTAAGGAGCTTGATAACAGGGGCTTGCATGAAGGGGAAACAGAGGAATCTAACCTGTCCTAATGTGTGTGTGCACCACGAGTGTAAAACACTTTTTAATAAAACGAAAATTCGTCCCTTGCTCTTTTTTGTGTGAAACGGAAGTGTGTTCACAGAGGTTTCTATGGGCCAATGCTAATAAATCTAGATTTAAATATGACCTGACGTTTTATTCTTATCCAAAACAATGAGCTGGGATATTCACACACTATTTTTTATTTTGTGAGTTTGCAATATATTAAAATACTTAACTTTCAATATTAAAGATACCAGTACTGTAACCACTGTGTTTAAAAAGATCACAATTTATTAACTTATTCTCCACCTTCCTCTCTTATTCTTATAAAGGTTGCATTCTTTAAGGAGGTCTTTGCTGTCCCTTAGTGTGAAGATTACTGGCAACATTTTCAATTATAGTAGCCTGTATGTTGTACACAGTTGCATACTTATTTTTAGTAATTGGAAATTATACTTTGACCTTTTAGCTTCTTTTCTTTGGGGGATATATACCGTATATATATATATATATATATATATATATATATGGTATACCTATATGTGGTGGTGTGCCGCCTGGACCAAAAAATGCCAGGGCCGATTTTTTTGTCCCAGTCCAGCCCTGAGTGAGACATTTCAAATGATGACCAATTGTTGGTGCACGTCCTGCGTAACTAAAGGACAGCAATTCTTTGTGATCGACAGCCATGCTAGGGTAATGTCAGCATACAAACATGATGGATGAACCACATCCAATTGGATTAACTGTCAACACAAGAGAACATAAAGCTTGTCTAATTCCACACATAAAAAATCTCAATGATCTAATAATGTGTTATTGTCTTGTCTCTAGAACTGAAGTGGAAGCAGCAGTATGCAGGTACAGTGTGCTGTCTGCACTAATTTACATTCATATACTCAAAGCTTTATCACTGCACTACAATTTCATGAAAAACTGAATTAACTATTAAAACAACATCACAAAATATCAAAACATTGTTTAAATTTTGATAATCACTGTGACTGTATTGTCTACATTTGTTGTCTAATAGGTCACTTCAAACAAACCCATAAGATTTTGTTAATGGGTGAAAATCCTCCTTTATTGCCTTTCTTGAGTCCATTGAGCATATTTTAATGGACTGTGATGTCTTGAACTCTTTTAGGACTCTTTATTTTTCAGTTGATTCTTATAAAAAAATGTTTTAATAAAGTGAGACCAGATTTGGTTATTTTTTTTTTAAATCAAACATAACAAATTTAAAAAAAAATAACCTTTTTTATTTTGTTGTTTTATATTTCTCTTTTTTCCACGCCATGAATATAGCTGTGGTAGCTGGCGTTAAATTATAAACAATTAATCAATCAATTGATTAGTCATTACAAAATATCTATTTTGAGGTTGTGATTCATATTCTCTGTTTTCTCAGTGGATGCGACTCTGGATCCTGATACAGCTCATCCAAACCTCATCCTGTCTGATGATGGAAAACAAGTGAGACATGGAGACACTGAGCAGAAACTACCAGACAAACTAGAGAGATTTGATACATATCCTTGTGTCCTGGGAAAGGAGGGATTCTCCTTAGGGAGATTTTATTTTGAGGTGCAGGTGCAAGGAAAGACTGACTGGACTTTAGGAGTGGCCAGAGAATCCACTGACAGGAAGGGAAAGATCACACTGAAACCTGAGGATGGATACTGGACTGTGGTTCTGAGGAAAGGGAAGGAATTTTTTGCCTGTGCTGAACCCTTCACCTCCCTGTGTCTGAGCGAGACAAGGCAGCGGGTCGGTGTGTTTGTGGATTATGAGGAGGGTCTGGTCTCCTTTTATGATGTGGAGTTCAGCTCTCTTATCTACTCTTTCACTGGTCAGTCATTCACAGACAAACTCTATCCATATTTTAGCCCAGGCTCCAATAATGGAGGTCAGAACTCAGCCCCACTGATCATCACACCAGTCAGTTACAATAAATAAATTTACACCACTTGTATAAAATACTGGATGAATAATTATTTTTATAATTAAAAATAAAAATGTATTATGTATGTTATTGGGTCTGGTATGTATGGTGTGTGCTACTATTCAAGGGATGAATTGTTCATATACGTAGTTTTTAAAATCTATAATATTTGACGTTTACGTACAAATTGATCTCTCTTCAGCTTAACCAGCTGGTTGAACGGTTTGATCAGCTACACAACAGCCCTCCCGCGGCTCCAACGGCAACCCCTCCTCCTGATCCCGATGGAACTAGTAACCGTCACACTGAACCATGGCTCAATCCTCCTGCTCCTTACTTGGGTGAGCCTAACACATGTAGCTCCTTTTTGTCCCAATGCTCTCTGACTTTCTCACTGCAGCCTTCCTGTTTTCCCACTGAGCGGTCCAAGGTAGCTTTCACCATCACGCTCTTGGTGTGTCTAGCGAGCCACGGCCATGTGGGATAATGAGCACAACTGCTGTTCCTCCTTTGAGAGCTTCTCGGAGGAACTACGCAAGGTGTTTGATCGCTCGGCTTAGGGAACTGAAGCAGCACGAGCCTTGGTGCTGCTATGGCAGGGAGAAGGTCCAGTATCCAGTTACTCGATCAAGTTTCGCACACTCGCGGCATCCTGTGGCTGGAACGACAAGGCTCTTTGGGATCACTTTCTCCACGGTCTGGCAAAGCATATCAAGGATGAAATCTATTCCCTTGAATTACCCTCGAGCCTGGACGGACTCATCGACCTCGCCATTCGGGTGGATAACCGCATTACTCTCCTTTCCTGGCATCGGAGGGGCGTGGTTTATCTCGAGCCTGGTACTAGAGCTGTGTCTGCAGCGTCTAGTGACACGCCATCTCAACGTCTCGACTTCCCCGAGGATGAGCCTATGCAGGTTGGGAGAGCGCAGTTGACTGTGAGGGAGCGGCGTCGTCACCTGGACAACCAACTGTGTCTCTACTGCGGAGAGGCCAGTCACGTGGCTGCTGCGTGCCCAGCCGCTAGGCAGCGTTTACCGCTCAAGGGAGGGCAGAAGGTGAGAGTTACTAGATCTCGATTGCCCTCTGGTGGTCGGTCTGAGTTTCAAGCCTCATTGCTGGTCAAGGGGGCTGCTTATCAAGTGTCTGCGTTTATTGACTCTGGAGCAGAGGGCAATTTCATGGATGCCAGGCTGGCCACGCGCTTGGAGATTCCTTCCGTTGCTCTGGCTGAGCCTATATCGGCCAGAACACTTTGTGGCACCCTTCTTTCCAGAATTACCCATGCTACTAAGATCGTTACACTAACGCTCTCCGGCAATCATGTCGAGGAGATCCGTTTTCTCCTTATTCACTCACCCACCGCCCAAGTGGTTTTGGGGCACACCTGGCTAGTCAAACATAATCCTCACATTGACTGGGCTCTCAACTCTGTTTTAACTTGGAGCCCTGTAGGATGGTTCGTTGCGCCCCTGCATAGACTATCGGGGGTTGAATGACATCACGGTGAAGAATCGTTATCCTTTGCCGTTGATGTCATCCGCCTTCGAGCTCTTGCATCTTTACGAAGTTGTACCTCCGCAACGCTTATCACTTAGTTCAGATTAGGGAGGGGGATGAATGGAAGACCGCCTTTAACACCCCTACTGGGCACTTTGAGTATTTGGTCATGCCGTTTGGGCTTTCTAACTCTCCGGCGGTCTTCCAGGCACTCGTCAATGACGTGCTCAGAGACATGGTCGACCGGTTTATGAATGGAAGACCGCCTTTAACTCCCCTACTGGGCACTTTGAATATTTGGTCATGCCGTTTGGGCTTTCTAACTCTCCGGCGGTCTTCCAGGCACTCGTCAATGACGTGCTCAGAGACATGGTCGACCGGTTTGTTTTTGTTTACCTGGATGATATTCTGATCTTCTCCCAGAACGAACGCGATCATGTCCAGCACATCAGGTGAGTGCTCCAGTGGTTACTTGAGAATCGTTTATTCGCCAAGGTGGAGAAGTGAGAGGTTCACGCATGGTCGGTTCCGTTCCTGGGATTTATCCTCTCTCCCGAGGGTATCCGAATGGATCCTGCCAAAGTAAAAGCAGTTGCTGATTGGCCCACCCCAGATAGTCGTAGAGCGGTCCAGCGATTTCTGGGGTTTGCCAATTTTGCCAAGCTGGTGTGTGGTGGGCATTCTGGCACAATATGGCTGCCGTCACATCATCCAGGTGGATGCTTCACACTGGTGGTGGTTGAGGAGATTCCCCCGCTTTCATGTTAAGCTCTTTGAGTACCCAGAAAAGCACTATATAAATGTAACTAATTATTATTATTATTATTATTAATTTTTACAGGTGGTTCATTTGGAACTTTAGTCAGGTCGCCCTTCCTCTGACTGATCTCACATCCACTAGGAAGCGTTACGGTTGGTCATCGCAGGCTCAGACTGCGTTTGAAAATCTTAAGAGTCGCTTCGTTTCGGCTCCCATTTTAACCACACCCGACCCGTCTCGTCAGTTCATTGTGGAGGTGGATGCGTCAGAGGTGGGGGTTGGGGCTTTTTTTGTCGCAAAGATCCCCCTCGGACGAGAGAATACATCCCTGCGCCTTCTTTTCTCATCATTTAACCCCCTTGGAACGGAATTACAACATCGGGAATAGGGAGTTACTTGCTGTTAAGCTGGCTCTGGAGGAGTGGCGTCACTGGTTAGAGGGCATGGGGGTCACTTTTATTGTTTGGACTGACCACAAAAACCTCGAAAACATCCGCACCGCTAAGAGACTAAATTCTCGGCAGGCTCGCTGGGCATTGTTTTTCAGGCGGTTTAGGTTTACCATCTCTTACCGCCCGGGGTCCAAGAATGGTAAACCCGATGCGCTGTCGCGGATCTTTGAGGCTGAGGCTAGTCCCACCCTCCCTGTGCGGCGGTCACCTGGGGGGTGGAATCCAAGGTCCGCGCAGCATTACGCGACACTGATATTCCCGCGGGGTGCCCAGAGGGTCTGTTGTTTGTGCCCAAGTCAGTCCGAACTAGCATCCTACAGTCGGGCCACTCATCCGAACTAGCTTGCCACCTAGGAGCGACTCGCACCTGCATGTTGATCAAGCAGCGGTTTTGGTGGCCGTCCGTGGCGCGTCAGTTCGTGTCAGCCTGTCCGGTTTGTGCTGCGGGTAAGTGCTCCAATCGACCCCCAGCAGGGCTACTCCAGCCACTGTCAGTCACTTCGCGGCCCTGGTCACACATAGCAATGGACTTCGTCACCGGCCTACCCCCATCTAGTGGCATGATGGTAGTCCTCACTGTGGTGGACAGGTTCTCTAAGGCGGCTCATTTCATTCCCCTCCCCAAATTACCCTCAGTGAGGGAGACAGTGACTGTTGTCTTGGATCACGTTTTCCGTATTCATGGCCTCCCGGTGAACGTGGTTTCTGACAGGGGTCCCCAGTTTGTGTCTAGGTTTTGGACAGAATTCTGTCGACAGCTACGGGCGACTGCGAGCTTATCCTCTGGTTATCACCCACAGACTAATGGGCAGGCCGAGCGTGCTAACCAGGATTTGGAGAGGGT